ATATATATATATATATATATATTTTACAGCTCCCTCCGAAGACGTTCGTACACTGCATCAAAATGACGGCCTCCCAATTAGAGGGAGGAGAGGTCGCGGTAGACCATCTAGACGTCGCGGACGACGCGGTAGACTTGCAACAAGATTAAATCCAACTCCAGAAATGGAATGTGAGAGAAATAACATATTTTTAATCATTAATCGCTGATACGTATTTCTTATTTAGTGTATTTATGAAACTGAACATATAATATGATAAGATTTCCATTTTAATAGACATAATGTCATTTCTGTAGGATGATATATTTGCGAATCATCATTATTACAGTAACTCCGAATGCTGAAGAAAACGAAAGAACGGAGGAGCCAATCGCAAACGTAGAATCTACTGGAAACGTGGCGAATGAGAGCATAAATGAAGGTATATTATATGTACATATATTTTATTCGTATATCATGAATATTATTGATAATTATAAAGTCATATAATTTTTTTATTTTCTTCAACGTATTTTTTATATATCTGGAGATGATTACGTTACATATTTATATAATATATATACACGCGCGTGTATATTTATCATTTTATGTATTTATTATTTTAATAGCTATATCTGACGATATTCGCCCACCTTTTCAAATTACTGAACAAGGTAATAGAGAGTGGAGGAGGCACGGCAGGCCTCGCAGATATCGTGGACGGCGCGGTAGACTTGCAAGATTGAATTCAACAAATCGAATTCAACAAGTAAATGGTGAGAAACACGTTTATAATTCATCGCTGATGCACCTGTATTATTGAATGTGTTTATATACATTGTAAAAACAAGTGTGTTATTTTAACACATTTTATTGTAGTCCCTTTTAATACGTGTATAGATTTGCAAAAAACGTGTAGATATAATACACTTTTCGTATGTAATACTCATTTTACACATGAAAAGTGTATTATAGCTATTATATGTGTTATACGATATACATCGTATGTCACATGATAAAATTTCCATTGTAATAGATTGATTTCTTTAACCTATTGTGTATTAATTGCGTTTTACCATTATTTCAGGGACTGCAAATACGGAGGAAGAAACCCAAAGGACAGAGGAGCCACTAGCAAACACGGAATCTATTGGAAACGAGATCATTGAAATTTTAGACGAAGGTATTATATTATTGTATATACATATTTTAATTCTCTTATAGCGACAGACGAACATTGATATAACATATGATAGTTTCTATTGTAATAGATATGTCAAATTTCTCGCCTGTTGGTGATTCATTGTGGTTTATCATCGTTTCAGAAAGTCAAGAAGAAAATAATATAATAGAGAACACAAGCGTGGAATCTAATAGAAACGAGACAATTCAAATCATAGACGATGGTATGAATGTATTATATGTACATTTTATATTTAATCATTATAATTTTATATACTCTTATAATATCATCAATTAGTAATAAAATTATTTTGTTATGTTGGCAGATAACCATATTTATGATATCCCGGAAGACGATTTCGGTACTCTGGGTCTATATGAAGACCAACGGAATGATGTACCTTATCATCCTACTCCGTCGAATCCGATATCCACGTTAGATAGACGCACAAATGGTTCGTGTTGTACCTGTTTGATCGCAAATGCCACTCATATGTTTGTGCCATGTGGGCATTTATGTATCTGCACCGATTGCAAGGAAAGATTGGAGGACGACAACTGTCCGTTATGTCGTGTCGAATACAACAGTTGTATTCGCGCCATTATCACGTAACACAATTTTCTTTAAGAAATTGAATTTTAATTTTTATAAATTATTATTAAAAAGCTATCGTTAACTTAATTGGGATTTAAAATGTTTTTACTAATGGCGAATTCGGTACACATGCACTGACTCCGCTCTAGTTGCTGCTCTGACATCGTACGAGTGTAGAACCACTTTAGTGCTATGCCAAATTGTACTGTCAGAGACGTCAGTGCAATTTCTTGAACTCGTTCAGTTCATTCGGTTGGTCCGAATATAAATTCAGTACTACCACCGACGAGATACTATTAAAGACCGACATCCTTACGGGAGTTCGCGTCCTTGTGAATATTGAAGTGATGAAGAGTTAAAAATTGATAATATTGTACTAATTTTATGATTTATTAGTTTAGTAGATGTGTTTATACATTTATATAACTCAATAATACTCGATTTTTCTTTAAAATTGAGATTTCAGTGTTATCATCAAAGTTTGATTATCGATAAAGATGATAATTGCAGAGAAAAAATTGTGATTTTTTTGCAATATATAGAATATTACAGCTTTACAAATATGTATATTTATTTATGGGACATTTATGTAATAAAAAATCATGAATTTAATAATGCATGAGCAAAATATTTGTTAATAATAGCAAATTTATATCAATTATCGGTAATATCAGCGTTCTTGAATTACCTCCGGGCCCTTGGGGCCCTTTTTATACCGCCGAAAATTTGTCCAGGATGACAGTCTTTAATAATACCTCGTCGGTGATACTACACTGGCTCACTTTTCATTTACCGAATATGACAATCTTAACGCACTGAGACAGTGCGCACAAGCCGAATGCGTGGCATTAAAAGTTATTATTATAATATATCTTTTGAACATAAATATATGTATATGGCCACTAAACTGCAGTTAAATGTTTAGAAAATAGCTTTTACTTAAGGAAAAAAATGAGAAGATATAAGGTCATAAAATTAATATCACATAATAGATTGCATTTTAATTTTTTAAATATTGAGCATCTTGTTATTATTAAAATCTACAAATACAACAATTTGTAGGATATTAGAAATGAAAGACTACCAAATTATATGTATTAGAACACATTCTTGTCTTTTCAGTAATATTAGAGAATCTAATATAGACTAATATAAGATTATTTCTCGTATTAATTAGTGCTTAGTTTATTTTATCGTTCTACAGTTTGCATTTTTGTAAATTATTGCGTATCGCCGGGGATACAATGTGCAGTTTAATGCACGTGGGAGCATTTTCACTTAATATCTCAGTAACATGATATATTTCAATTATATTCCTCCCCGAGCTACTATGCTATTCTCTCTTTGCAATTAAAAAAAAATTTGTGTCAACCCTGCTTTAGAATTTATTTATAAGCAAGTAATGTTATATAATTGAATAAAATACTTAGGCTATATATAATGATATTTTGGTCATTCCAGTTTTTGTTTATATATACCGTAATTTTTTTCTACATTTTTATGCAGTATATCTCAATCTTATTCGACATTGCAATGCCTTTAAATGAATCTCGTCCACGCAAACTGCTATTTCCAATGGAATATTTTATTGATCAATAGAAGTACTTTGACTTTAAGCAAGGCTTAAAACTCTCTTTGTCTCTGTCTCTCTTTTGCTTTAAAACGAGACAGAGAGAGTTTTAAGCCTCGTTTAAAGTCAAAGTAATGCGTCGTCTACAATGGGCAGTAGCAGTAGTGGATTAAAGAATAGGCGTAGAAATCAACAAATCATAGTCGAATGTGAGAAGGATAATTAACTATCATTTGAGAGAGACGCTTGTGAACTGCACACACTTGGTCTGTTCTTTTTGGCTGAACTTTTGCATCGTTTCTCTCCAGGAGGAAAGAAGAGGAAGAAAGATGAACTGGTGCAAAAGTTCAGCCAAAAAGAACAGGCCTATCATGTTAATTCTTCCACCATGTGCTGGATTCACACTGCATCCGATTTGCGTCGTACGACGCTCTGCAACCAATCAGAAAACAGGATTCTGATGGA